TGAGCGCATTATCTCTCACTTCCAAATGGATTTAGTGTGAATGTTTTACAAGCAGGCAACACTAAGTGCAATAAGCGTTGATCTCCTCAATTCATCAGTCAGAGTCTAAACAAAGCTCTCTGTTCAGCAGCACACCTGCCTTTAAGCAAAGCCTCTGTTGTTGTGGCTCACGGCCATGAGCAAAAACAAAAAGTCACAATGTTCCACTCTCGTGAAGTCATCATCTGCACAAATCTAAATCTGGGAATAAACACATGAGAACATTTTCTACATCAGAACTGACAAAGTTAATCTTTTTCCGTCTTATACAAGTCCAAGCTGTTTTTAAGTGGACAACACTGTGTCACATATTTAGTAGTACTCATGTGGATATATGGCTTTGGAGGAGTATTTTGTTTTGAGGTTTTTTTTACATTTTCGAGGGCTAGCATCCTCCACAGCTGGAGCTAGAATTGATGTTTGGACTTTCCAGACCCCTTTGCAAGGTTTTTAATGTACACCGTGTCACAGTTTACTGTGTTCAGCACACAAACCAAATGATATTACCTGCCAAGCATCTTAGAAAACATGGCATTTTAATACAGAACGCACAACAACGAGGCAAAGTAGTCACTGGCAGTGACTGCAAGAGCCAAGTTGGTCAAAACAAGCAAGCAACACAGACAAGAAGATTTTATCTGCCAACGCTTGAAGGCATGTGCCTGTGAACTGAAGCATTCATGGTCTGACTCCTGTGGTCAAAAACAGGGCAAAGATCACATGTTTGAACAGAAGAACTGAGCTGTTCTCACAGCATGCAAGAAGAAGGGGTCCGAGCCCAACTCCAGCCAGACTGCTAAACCATCTGTGCTGCCTCTTTCAGGACATATTCTCACATGTATGTAGAAGGTCTCACAGCCAACATGTTTATGGATGACCTACCCTCAGAAACACAGGCCTGCAGGGGAAGCAAAGGCCTGAAATGACAGTGAGCAGCAGGAACCAGTAAATCTTTTTTGAAAACGTACTTTTAGGTAGAGGTGGGCGGATCGATCCAAATATCAATAGTATCGACACCAACGCTGGTATCGGTATCAGAGCAATACTAGAGTGACAGGGTCGATAAATGTATGTATATATACTTTTTTAATGAAAGAATACACCTCAAGCATGCACTATGAACAATGTCTGAACCTCTGTGTGTTGATTGTTACATCTATTTATAGCCTATATAGCACATTCAACCAACAGAAGCTGACCCAAAGTGCTTTACGGGTGGGCAGATTTATATTCCGGGTTTCAAAGTACATGAAAAGCTGAATAGTGTTTTTTGTTGTAATTACTAATTATTGCAGTACGTAATCACAATCACAGTAAATCACAGTGATTCAGTGGTCAACAAATGTGTTCAAAATGAGTAAATTAATGATGATACATCTCATAAATCACGACACACTGCTCGTCCCTAAATAAGGTGCCTTTACAGGTTTAAAAGTATCGGCATTGGTATCAGCATTTACTTGGTATCAGATGGATACCAAGATATGCAGTATGACACAGCACTACTTTCAAGGATGTGCTATTGTTCAGTTTTCATTTCAGTCACATGACAGGCTGTGACACATTTAATCCAGATCACATTCATGTGTTTAGCCAGTTTATTCAGTTGAATTAAAACAAAGTTTCACAGAAACTAACCAGGAAGTCTAACAAATCTGATGCTTTTACAAAGTCTCTGTTATACGATCATGATCTCAATTAGTTAATGAGCAAGCCTGCAGACAGTACTGAACAGTTAAAATAAGCCTGATCACCTTGTGGAGTGTTGCCTCTGTGAGGACTCGGAGTGTTCGCCCGGACCCTCTTCCTAACCGTCTCCCCAGAAGCCCCCTGCCTCTGCTCCTCCTTCGACTCCTTGTCTCCTCCATCCTCCATGTGGTCTGCCTCCTTTGGCATTCTGGAGTCTGCAGGAAAACAGGTGACATGGAGATTTGAATGTGCAGGGATTTGAAATCTGAGAGTCTGCTTTTAAGAGCCCAATCACTATGATACAGCCACGTCTTTGTAGAAGGGTGTATAGCAGGGCTACACCAGGAAGCAGTGGCTGTCACGTGAAAGGACCTCACTTAAGAGCACAAAGAAAAAGAGATGTGCAGATTTGTTTCTGTGGTGCTCAAATGATGACATCATCTGGACTGGTAAAGGATGAGAGAGGGGAGGGGGGGATCCGTGTGGCAGTGCGATGCTAAGACTGAGGAGGTGAAGTAAACAGAACAAAGCCTCATGGGTACTGTGGCTGTCCTCGCAGGCTTCGGTAACGGTACTAACCTTGTCCTCGGCAGCCCCGGGGGGAAGAGACGCGTCTGATGTGGAGCTCAACTTATCTAACGTTAGCTTTATAGTCAGCGTGAACGCCGCTTTCTGTTTAACAATAACAACACAACAACAAAGCTTTATGACACCGCTACTCCTTCATAACCCAGACACACGTTTATTCACAACTTCACCGCCGCCAGGCACCGCGCTCAGGAGAAGAAAGGCTTTGGTTTATCCTCGGAAACTCCAGCTTTTTTATTTACGTCGCAGCCCTCCTCTGACGGGTTGCCGCTAATCAAGAGACGCTTCCTGGATTGGGTGGGACTAGCGTGACGTAACAGCCGAGCCCCCCCTCCCAAACGCACACACACACACGGACACAGCGGCAGAAACGTTACATTTATTAGGGCCCGAGCACTGAGAGTGATGGGTGACATCTGCAACTCAAATTTCTCTAGGAAAGCTTTAAGGAGTTGGTCTTTGGTTACAGTGAAAAGTGTGAGTTTTTGTTAAGGGTGTGACCCCAGCAGTATTGATGAAGAAAAAAATTAGTATAAGTCAAAGAAATCCAGTCTGATCAGTACCAGAATTTTCAGGCGTGATGACAGACCTGCCCTGAACAGATTGATATGCCCATTGTCAGGAATATGCAGAGCGCCACCTAGTGGGAACAGGAAATGTCATGTCTTTCACTTTGATATACTGATTATCACAGGTTCATCAGGTCCACCTCAAAAGCGGTGAATATTAACTTCAGTCCCTCATGATGCTTCAGTGAGAAAATTAGGAGTTGGCCCACTCCTCTAATGTCATGAAGGCTTTCTTGTTATGTGATCATTTTCATGGAATATTGCAAAATGGCTCAACAGCGCCCCCTACAACATTTAAAAACATCAGCCTCTGCTCTGTGTTTCATCTATGATTTTGAAACCTGGTAAGCTTATGTAAGCTATCAAGATGTACAAAAATGTCTCTTGGAGCAATATCCCAAATCCAACAGGAAGTCAGCCATTTCAAAATTAAAGTGTCATTTTGGCGACACCTTCCCTTCTTTTCAGACCTCGTACATTAGATTGACTCGATCTCCAGTGCAGGGGATCTAAAGACCTTAATGATGTTAAATTGCGAAGCTTTTTACGTTCAGGGAAACGGGGTGGTCATGGCGGCACGTGGAGTTTCAATCACTCGCCAAAAAGCATTAATCTGCTGTCACTCAGAAACCAAGTTCAGTCTCTCCCAAACTTCGTATGTATGAGTCGAGAGTCAAGCTCGGGAATATTTGATAAGCGATTTGTCAGTAATAGTTAGACCGCCATCTAGTGGGATGACTATAATCATCATTGAATGAGATGAAATTTTAGCTCGTGGTTCTACGCATGAATTCCATCCATGTGACATAAGATCGGACATGCTGGGTGTAGGTGTTGGGCGTGTCTCGATGCCCTGGGGTGCGAGGACCCTCAAAACGCTGCTCGCAGCTTTAATTTGATTGTAATTGTCTAGCTGCTCAGATGTGAAGAAGAAGAAGAGTTTCCTTCTCAGACATTTCCAAATAGATTTGATTTCAAAAGAACAAAAGTACATTTTACATGAATTTCTTCTTTGATAGACAATAACTGGCCTTCCTATACATTCCTATATATGGATGGTAGAAATACACAAGAATGTTACAAAATATCAGCTAAAGGAAGTGATAAGGTACAAATATTTTGTTACTGTACTTAAGAGGAATTTACAGGTATCTGTACTTTACTTAAGTATTTTTTTCAACCATCTTTTTTACTTTTACTCCCTACATTTTTAAACAAATAGCTGAACTTTTTACTTAAAATTTCAGAACAGGCTCGCTACTTTAGGTTCAAAGGTCAAACTGGTTTGAGCCTAAATGGGGGTGGGGGGGTTGTCTCACACAAAGGGATGAAAGAGCAAAAACATAAATTATGCATAATTTATAACGCTATATAAGACCTATGTTTTACTTTCTTACTTTGAATACATTTCAGAGCTTGTACTTTTTCACTTGAGTAAAGAAGTTGAATCAGTAACTTTCACTGGAGTATTTTTTAACACAAGTATCGGTATTTCTATCCAAGTAAAGAATGTATGAACTTTTGCCACATTTTCAAAAGATACACTTCTCACCTCATTGTTTGAAACACCTGTTCAGCTGATATATTTAACTAGCCAGCACCATGGCAGCAACTTAATGCTTTTAAGTATGCAGACACAGGGAGGAGATGCTGCTAAAGTTCAAACTGAGCATCAGAGGAAGAATGGTGATTTAAGTGACTTTGAATGTGACATGGTTGTAAGAGCCAAAAGGACTGGTCTGGGTATTTGATAAACTGTTGATCTATTTAAATGTTTCCCCACATTACCATCCATTCTATCTAATATTATATCCAATTTGCTGTACAATGAGGTTGAATGCCTTTTGGAAAACAAAAACATACATGCTGATTGATATCAGACGTGTTACGTGTAACAGATTTACAGAAAGTGAACATTGTTTTTGAGCAGGTTATTTTAATGCAAACTCACTCCATTGTTATGAAAGTTTGGAACCACCCCCTCAGGTTTTCAGTCAGAAAACGGATCTACAGAGAACTGAGGAGTGTGAATGAGTGGTTTCGTTTTATTTTATTTATTTATTTTTTAAACTCTATTAATGTTAAAGATTTAAAAAAAAAAACAAAACAAAAACCTCTTGAAATATTTAAACAGCTTAGAGTCTAACACATATAATGCTTAGAGTAGAAGTTCCCAACGTGGCCACCTCAGGCTCTCTTCCAGAAAACAGTTCATTGGCAGAATATACTTGCAAAGAGCTGAATGTTTCACATTTTACAGAGATGCATTTGAGATTTTGTAAACAATTGACATTTTATTCAATAGTAAATACACATACATACTTTAGTATTCTTCAATATTTATACATTTGATATACAGACACAAACTTACTGTCAGTCAAAAATGCATCTGTGGAGATGGTTCACTTTTGTATAACAAGCAAGTAAAAAGGCAAAAAACACTTTAAAGAAAACAGCAGAGACAAATCTGCACAGATCTACAGCACACTGAAGGCAGAGTCACCAAAGTACTGGTTAAATATTTCTGGGTGGGAAAGGTGAAACTGTCTAAGAAGACGCTTTTTCTCCTTGGCTGAGATCTTGGTATCCAGGTGGATGTTGTTTAAGAGGACCCACAGCGCTTGGTTGGTGGTGGTTTTTGTAGAGCTTTGTAAAGTGTTCCTGTCAACCTGCTGACAGAATGTAGAACCTGAAGAAGAGAGAAAAAAAAAAAAACGTTAAAGGAAATGAACATTGCATAATTGCCAATTTAATGTAACTACAGACCTCCAGTCTCAGCTGGGAATAAAGTGATCTGGAGATTCTGCCACCACTAGGGGGCAGTGAAACATCAATAACCTACACATGATGTAGACCAATTTATGAATCACAACGGACGAGGAGAACAACAATAAAGAGGAAAATTTAATTAAAATTGATTTGAATAGAAATGTCTGGATATTATTTAGTTTTTTCTGCAGATTATAGTCTCCACCAGGGAGCATCTGCTCTTTAGCTGCATGACCTCTTAGCTGTTCTGGCCAGTTAGTCTATGGCAGATCCAACAGTGCTCATTTTTCTTAGAAGAGAGCCTCACTCTGTGGAGATGAGGGAAATCTGCTGTTGCAGATATTCAGGATGCCACGCCAAGAAAATTACTGCATGTTGAAGAAACTGTTTCACTCCATCAGTAATTAAAGATTTTTGGAAAGACTGTCATAGTAATACACAGTCATAGTGAGAGAATTTTAAGAATTTAGAGCATTGAAAGATCGTGCGACCTGTTTGAGTTAAAGAAAGACTTCATGTTAATGTTAAACGATAAAAGTATTTTACTGAATTACAGATACCATTCCTTTTGTGTTTTGCAGTGAGACGGAATTGTGCGATCTGTTCTGGAGTTTCTCCATCTTAAAAGGAAACTGATGTTGTGTGTCATTTACCAAAAGTAATCAAAAGCCATTTACCCGTCACATCCGGCTGTTTCTCCTGTACGAGGCAAGCCAGCTTGTCACTCACTACTTTGTGCAGAGCCCCAGGTATCTGGAGCAGAGAAAAAAAATAAAATAAAAAAAATTTACAGAACAAAGCTGCGCATAATCCATGAACCCCCCCCCCAAACCAAACAAAAAAAAAAAAAAAAAACCCAAACCACAGTTGGAAGAACAAGAACTGTGTAGCTTTACATTTGTATTTAACCCATTCATATTTTCCCACATTGTCTTCCTTTGTAATATCTACTGCTTCACAGCACCCCAAGCGAACCTTCGAGACACATTCCCATTTACATCAGTGTCTGCTGTGTGGCCACTTGTGTACAGCTTTTTTATAATTGCCATCTCTTCTACTACAAGTCAAAAGGGCCCCATGCAAACACATTTTAAGTTGTTGGACAAGCAGAGGTTACCAAAGAGAATATTCTAGATAAAGTAACTGATTACATTAAGGATGGCCAACTACAGTAGGTCATCCTTAGCGGTGGTTTGAGTGACCGGATCACAATGGGTTTAGTTCGTATGTACAAACATTTCTTGCACAAATCTTTGATCATTTTTTCTCCCCGCTTTCTTGCTGCACTGGGGCAAGAAATCAGGCAAAAAAATTCATCATCACTTTCTCACACAGACCAAAAGCATTCTATTACCTTGAAGATTTCTTTAACATTGCTTAGCATAAAGACCAATATAAGATCTTCTTTCTCTTTGGAGAGAGCCTTGCTGTGTAGGATCGCCCTGGAGAAAGACCTCTTCACTGCCAGCCTGTTCTCAATCTACAGATGACAGAGCACATTCTTTGATGTCAGACCCCCCCCCCAAAAAAATAAAAAAATAAAAACACCACTTGCTCTCACCTCCTTGTCCACTTTAATCCCATGTGGGTCAGCTGCCAGAGACACGAAGATAAGCAGCCTACGGAGCTCATCTCTGCAGCTGTGCGGCAGCAGCTTCAGACACAGTTGCAGAGCCTCGAGAGCCTTATCCAATTTAGCATTTACTGAAAAGGTGAGAGAATGAAAGAGAATGTGCTGCAAGTGGTGAGGTTATTAAAAATCTTTGGAGGAGAAGAGAGCATGGTTGGAGACGCGGTAAAAATCTCACCGTCACGTCTGAACCAGTGTTCTTACCGAGCAGCTCTGTGATGGCTGTGTAGACGTCAGTCATGTGCTGCGGCAGAAGTGGAAGCCTGTTTGTGACGCTGTAGTGTTTGACCAGAGTCCCATATAGAAGCAGCTTACACTGGGCCAAGCCACTTGGGGAGAGATGTGTGTGCTCTGCACTGTTGTCACCTGAGTATTTTGAAGCTATTGTTAAACATGCCATCATTTGCAACATAAGCTATACATGTCTCTCACCATAGCTCACCAGTGGCGTTTACATGCTTTACCCGATTCTGATACTCATCATACCACTTGCCTCTTTCTTGGACGCTGAGACCAGCTGGTTCTGGGTCACAGCTCTCATTATCTTGAGGGAAACAATGAGGCAGCTCCCTGCTGAGCTCCACTACCGGCTGGTCAGGCAGGAAGTCCAAACAGTCCAAAGCTGCACAGAGCCACTCATCTTCCCTGAAAAATGAGGAGGAAACAGTGCAAGTGAGATCAACAAAACATCAAATTTATAAAAAAAAATAAAGATTTTTAAAAATCCAAACTTACTGAGAGTCTCGGAAGGCCTTGAGGATCTGTCGGTCCAGGTGGTTGCTGCTGTAGATCAGATCTGGGTTATTGTGTGCCAGGTTGGCTGGAGATGGAGAGGATGGGCTCTGCCTGCACTGAAGCACGCCTTCCAGCACAGGGAGCTCCACCAGATTTAACAGGCTGAGCAGGGTCTGCTCCTGCCACACCTCATCCACCACTGCAGGAAAGAGCCAGAGGAACCAAGTTCTAATTGAGTTGCAGCCTGTGCAGGTGTATTGCTGCCTTTTGTCCCGCTGAATGCAGTCTATGATAGGATCCATGCTGTTAAACTACATGTGTAATGTTATTTGGCGTCAAACATTGCCTGATAGATGCATATATTGCTCAAAAGCTGAATAGATCATTCAGCATTAATGTAAAATTAACAGATGTGCAAGTCACTCAAACCATGTGAATGAATGTACTCCGATTATCCTCAGAGATGCCAGATTGTGGCTGATCCAGTACCCTCTGCTACATGTCTCTTTGAATGCAATTTGCTCGATGATCACAGCTATGTAGTACAGATTTCCTGCTTGTCCTTTGTATACCACAGCATTATGTATTGCAGAAACATTTGCTTTAGTTTAGTTGTTCAGGATTGCTTTAGTGATGCATACGAAAGAAAGATTTGTGCTCACATGATTGTGGTAAACCCGTGGCTGTCTGTACCCTGCACGGACTCAGACTGTTCATCGGCAGCTCCAATGATTGGCTGCTAGTGGCGGGAGCATCTAGCTGGCTGGAAGTATGAGTGAAGAGGACTGGGGTGGACATCTCAACAAGCGATGCAGGGGGACAGGTCTGCTCTTCCTGCCTGAAATGCAAGAGACACGGATTTCAGGCACAGTAAATTCAGACCTTGATGGATCTACGCTACAAAAGAATTCAGCCAGTCCCAAAGGTAAAAGCAAGGTGTACCTAATAATATGGACAGTGAGAGTATACAATAATATTTATTATTCAATTCATAAAATATTCATACATGAGATACATTTTGACTTGATGCTACCTTTGGTTAGATGTTTTATATGCAGTGTGCCTGTAATACAGATAAATAAATATTTTAGAGGTGATACCTGTCTGAAGGAGCGCAGGTGAAGAACTTTTGGATCCCATTCACAAGCACACCTTTTTCCAACTCATCTACTGAAGGAGTAGATGTGTCTACAAACCTGCATGTTTATATGAAATGTTTAGGGAATGCCATCACAGGTAGAAATTTATTTATTTATTTATTTTTTTTTAAAAAACAGTTCGTTTCATGTATCCAACCTGTAAAGAGCGCTCTTGCTGTCATGAAACGCATCCTGTTTCTTGTCTTTTCCCAGCACTTTGGTTCCCACCGCCTCAAACACGCCGCACTCCAACAGCGCCTGGCACACACACACCACTTTGTCCCGAGACACGACGGCACCTTAAATTTAATCAAATAGAAGGGCCGAATATCAGAAATAAAATGATCTCTAGAAGGTGAAGCTATGGGAATAAAACAGCATCTACAAACCAACACACACCCTCAAAGCCCTTCGCTTTAACAATGTATTCTGCCAGTACATCCACACCCTCTGAGCCAAGGAAACAGTCACTGTGGGATTTCAAGAGGACTCGTCTGCGCTTCACGGTCACAGTAGACTTCAGGTGGGAGATAAGGCTGCTCCACATGGTGCAAGACTGGACTGGCTTGGAGGCCACACAAGGAGCTTTAAAAAAAAAAAAAAAAAAAAAAAAGGCACATTCAGAACAAACTCTTAACATATTTTACAGGCAATTTGTGCAGGGCACAATTAGATATATGCAAAAGGACAGAAGAGACCTCTTAAACACCTTTATAGGAATATATATCTCTAAGAGAATGAGGGAAAGGAGCAATTCCACCTTGTAGTGCAGTTTGCACAAATTGTTTTAAAAATGCACTCACGCTACAAACAGGACAGAAGAGAAGAAAAAAGGTGACGGTGAGACAGCGGAGGCTCGAAGCGAGGAGGAGGTTTAAACCGTGTCTGCCGTCTATCGTGATGGGTAATGTGCGATCGTTGGCAATTAAAATCGACGAGCTCTCAGCACTGGTACGGAGTCAGAGGGAATACCGAGAGTGTAGCCTGATGTGTTTCACCGAATCATGGCTGCACCAGGACATTCCCGATGAGAATGCTTCCGTGGAAGGCTTCCACACTGTTCGGGCGGACAGGGACAGCATCGCTAGGAGGTGGGCTTGCTGTTTTAGTTAACAACCGGTGGTGTAACCCTGCCAACATAACAATCAAAGAAAGGATTTGTTGCCCGGACACTGAACTGTGTGCTGTTGGACTCAGGCCGTATTATTTACCCAGGGAATTCTCTCACGTCATCTTGGTGGCTGTTTATGTACCCCCCTCTGCTAACCCCACAGCTGCATGTGACACTATCCACTCTGCCATAGCTCGGCTACAGACTCAGCATCCGAGTGCCTTTATTGTGATCTCGGGTGACTTCAACCATGTATCACTGGACAATACACTACCAACATTCAAACAATATGTGGACTGTCCCACCAGGGGAGAGAAAACTTTAGACTTACTGTATGCTAACGTCAAGGATGCATACAGCTCCTCCTCCCTCCCCCCACTTGGTAGGTCAGATCATAACCTGATTCACCTCACCCCCCGCTATGTGCCAATTGTGAGGAGGGAACCTGTGACCACCAGGACTGTCAGGAGGTGGTCAGAGGAGGCCTTAGCAGAACTACAGGGCTGTTTCGAGGTGACCGACTGGGAAACACTCTGTGAGCCTCACGCCGAGGACATCAATGGGCTTACTGAGTGTATCACAGGCTACATAACTTTCTGCACCGACTCCATTGTTCCAGCTCAGACTGTTCATTGTTACCCAAATAACAAGCCGTGGGTGACTAAGGACATCAAAGCCCTCCTCAACAACAAGAAGAGGGCTTTCAGAGGGGGCAACAAAGAGGAGGTGAGGAAGATCCAGGTGTTACTAAAGGACAAGATCAGAGAGGCTAAGGACAATTACAGGAGGAAGCTGGAGTGGAAACTCCAGCAGAACAGCATGAGAGAGGTGTGGAGGGGCATGAAGACCATCACTGGATTCAGGCCAACCAACAGCAGGGGAGCTGAGGGAGGTGAGAATAGAGCCGACGAGTTGAATCTGTTTTTCAATAGATTCGACACCACAGTGTCTGCTCCCACCCCCACAACCTCACCTGTAGTCAGCCTGGAATCCAGAACCACACCACTGTGCCAGCCTCTCTCTTCACATGTTGCCTCCTGTGAGATTCCTGACACCCCTCCCCCACCCATCACCTTCACTCAATACCAGGTTGAGATGCAAATGAGGAGACTTCACTCAGGCAAGTCTGCTGGACCAGACGGAGTGAGTCCCCTTGTCCTCAAGACCTGTGCCCCCCAGCTGTGTGGAGTCTTTCATAAACTGTTTATGCTGAGTCTGAGTCTGCAGAGGGTCCCGGTGATGTGGAAGACATCATGCCTCGTCCCTGTACCAAAGACGCCACGTCCCAGTGGCCCCCAGGATTACAGGCCCGTGGCATTGACCTCCCACATCATGAAGACCCTGGAAAGGCTCATCCTGGACCAGCTGCGACCCATAGTAAGACCACACCTGGATCCCCTTCAGTTCGCTTATCAGCCTCGTCTCGGAACTGAGGACGCCATCATCTACCTGCTCAATCGTGTCTACACCCATCTGGACCAGCCGGCGAGCACTGTGAGGGTCATGTTTTTTGACTTTTCCAGTGCTTTCAACACCATCAGGCCGACCCTCCTGGGTGATAAGTTAGCAGCGATGCAGGTGGATGCTTCTCTGGTGTCCTGGATTGTTGATTACCTGACAGGAAGACCACAATATGTACGTCTCCCACAGTGTGTGTCTGACAAGGTGATTAGCAACACAGGGGCACCACAGGGGACTGTCCTCTCCCCCTTCCTCTTCACCCTCTACACCACAGACTTCAGCCACTGCACAGAGACCTGCCATCTTCAGAAGTTTTCTGATGACTCTGCGGTGGTTGGATGCATCAGCAGGGATGATGAGACAGAGTACCGGGCTGTGGTCGACTCCTTTGTCACGTGGTGTGAGCAGAATCATCTGCAGCTCAACGTGGCAAAGACCAAGGAACTGATCGTGGACTTCAGGAAGACCAGGAAACACTTGACCCCTGTTTCAATTCAGGGGGTCAGTGTTGACATTGTGGAGGACTATAAATACCTTGGAGTACACATTGACAATAAACTGGACTGGGCTAAAAACACCACAGCACTTTACAGGAAGGGCCAGAGTCGTCTCTATTTTTTGAGGCGACTGAGGTCCTTCAACATCTGCCAGAAAATGCTGAGGATTTTCTATGAGTCTGTTGTGGCCAGTGCGATCCTCTATGCTGTTGCATGCTGGGGGAGCAGGCTGAGGGTCGCAGATGCCAACAGACTCAAACTAATCCGTAAGGCCAGCAATGTTGTGGGGATGGAGCTGGACTCCCTCAAGGTGGTGTCGGAGAGGCGGATGCTGTCCAAGATAAAGACAATGTTGGATAACACCTCCCACCCACTCCATGACATGCTGGTCAGTCACAGGAGCTCGTTCAGTGAGAGACTGAGATTACCGAAAAGCACCACTGAACGACACAGGAAATCATTCCTGCCTGTGGCCATCTCCCTGTACAACGCATCCACTTAACACACTGTTTGCTGCTACAACTACACATGTTTCTTTTCCAACTATTTATTTATGAGTGACTTATGTATGTATGTATGTATGTATGTATGTGTATATATTGTACTATTCTTAGTTAGTGTATTGTCTGTCTTGTCTTAATGTTGGTTTAAAATGGAGCACTGTAACAAAAAATAATTTCCCCCAGGGATCAATAAAGTATTCTGATTCTGATTCTGATTACTGATGAGTCAAGACAGTTGTTAGGCTGCTGATGTAAATTGATTCATTAGTGTATATTTGAAAAAGAATCTGAATTGACATGTCTCACTTTTTATATGGCACAAATCAATGTGTTTTTTTATCAGGTGGCAATATGTCCTAGTGCAGACAGAGGGGAAGAGCCAGGGCCAAAGGTGAGGCACATCAAGCACAGAATAATAATTTTAATCTGAGGATAAAACGCAGGTATTGAGGCTGAAAGAAGCTTCAGTGCTCTCAGAAGACTAAAAAGATGGCTATGGTTAACAATGACTCAAATGAGATTAAACAATGCTGCTGCATGTCCACCAGGAGAGACTGGACAGTATAGATGTAAAACAAACATGCCAGCAGTTTATCTCAGTTAACGAGAGGAGCAGGCACGTGTTTGGCTCCTTCACATAGTGGACATTGAGTTGTGTGGGACACCAGTAGTCCATGTCTGTTGCTGTAACAGTAGTTCATGTTTAGAATAGAAAATCTCAGCTCACTGATTTGATCGGGGCAATAGTGCCTAATCTGTTGCATAATTTTGCTGAGAGATCTTTTACTTTGTGGTAATCTTAGAGGAGTAGTTTTATGGCCTAAAATACTTAGTCATTTGTTTAATAGTAATTTAACATTATAAAATTCACATATAAAACTATGAATCATCCGTCCCCACCAATGCCAAAACCAAATCTACGCCCTTGGAAAGGAGAGAAATCAAGGGTTGAGGAGGAAGGTTAGACTAAGCACAATAACGGAAACCTTAAAATGACCACTGCCAAATTCTTTGCCACAGCTGTTTGTAAGTGTAGCTTTGCAACGCTTGCTTAACATGAGAAAAAAACCATCAGATCTCAGTTCAGGCCTCCGCCAGGTGCAAACAACTCACCTTGATTACGCACACACAATTTCTCCGCAAGGTTCAGCGCTGCGGCTCTTTCTTTTATTGAAGCCATGCTTCTGACGGATTACAAACGTTGAGAATGGGCGGGTATAAAAGCAGGAGGAAGCAATCAATGAAAGCGCCTCCAATCAAACAAGCGCCCTCTCTGGCGTTTGTGTGCAGCTCTGTAATAAAACCGCTAGAGGGCGCTAGTAGCTCAGTCACACAGAGACCTCTGGCTATGGAGGTCTTCAACTATGTGAACTTTGTGTTTTACTGACTTGCTTTCATAGATTCAACTAATGAATAATGGGAACAGATCTTCTGATCCTCTGCGGAGTCATTAGCCATAGCTTTATCAACACTTTATTAAAAAATAATTTATATAAAAGCACTAAATGATGGAGTGATCATTTATTTTAAATATCAAATTAATTTAAATATTTAAACAAATGTTATGCATTTTTTTCTTCTCCGTTTGAGTGCCTGCAGGTGGTGTAAGTAAATCTTGACCATCTGCCTGTGTCACATTACTATTGTGCAAAAATAGGACATCTCTATTAGAACTCTATTCTATTAATTTATGCATACATGCGTTTTATTTGTGCATTATATATTTTTATAGAAAACTACTGTCATATTAAAATTTGTATTTATATATTTTAAAGTTTTTGGACATTTCACATTTTTGAGAATCTTCTCAGCATCTGTCCAGTGCGCTTCCTGTAGTTCGCCATCTTGCTTGCTTTGCTAATTGCTAAAGGTAAGCTACAACAACAAGCAAACATTTTATTTGAAGTACTTACTTATGGCAGTGCCTAATTTATTTCTCTGTTAAATTAGTGTACAAATATGTATTTCAGCATTAATATGGAAATGTATGTTTAAACAGCAGAGTCATGTTAGCTACAACTAGGTGGCTTTAGCTTTAGCAATCATTTTTGCTAGGCTAAACAGTTTGTGCTTATTCTGTTAGCATGGGAGTTTGATAACACTGGAAATACCTTTAGAACAACAGTACAGTCACAGTAAAAACTAATGCTCTGCATTTATTGTGTTGTTTATCAACATATCTGGGCCTTAGTGTTTTGTTAATACCCAGATTATTAGTTATCATCAGGATAATGATAACTGATTTTGGTACAGTTGAACCTAGAGCAACATTAGTTATCATAATCCAGGAACACCACCAATATGGGCACATCAGATACACCTGATATTGACGAGTCTTACACTGTCAGCTTTCTTCTCTGGCTTCAAACAGACTAAACTTTATTATTATAGTAGCTCTCTTCTAGTCTTACTGATTAAAGTGCCAAAAGTGCTTATCACATTCATACAGTACCTTTACTTACACATAACCAGATTTGTGTATCCTGATTGCCAGTATTAGGGTAACTGGATCCAGAAAACAGAAAGTTATCCTGGGTTCTCTGAACTTTCGTAGTGCAGGGCCAAGGTCTTAAAATTAGATCAATACAAACTCAGATGAACTACAGAACAATAACACATTTTTGAGTGCCATTATTGATTTAACAAAATTAAGCCAAAATGCGCAAGTGGTGTCTAAAAATTTAAGTACACCCTTACTGCCAATCATATGTACTTTATTAATTGATCATCAACAACTGATGATCAATTAACATCTGGAGTATTCAGGTGTTGACCCAAGGAAGAAAGACATTAGCAATGATCTTAGAGAAGCAATTATATCTTCCCACCAGTGTAGGAAGGGTTATCGAGCCATTTTTAAATATTTTAATAATCCTTTTTTCTACAGTGATAAAGTGTAAAACATTCAGGACAGTTGAAATCTTCTTAGGAGCGGATGTCCTAGCAAATTCACCCCAAGATCAGATCAATGTTCAGAGAAACTGCATAAAACGTTAGAGCTTCATATCAGACCCTACAGGCCGACCTTGGCATGCTAAGTGTTAAAGTTCATGACAGTGCAATTAGAAAAAGACTGAACAACTATGGCTTTGTCTGTTGGACAATGTGCTTTTGTCTTGTCCTTTGGACAAACAAGAGCAAAGTGGAGGTTTTTATCCATAATATGCAGCCTCATTATGGCAGTTCAGGAGATAGAGCCGGTCATGTACAAGTTGAGAGATTGGTGGCCTTTTGCCCAAGGATGCCAAATATCCTTGGGCAAGATACTAACCCCAAGTTGCTTTCTGATGCATCCATTGGAATATGAATGAGTGTGAATGTTAGATAGAAAGCAATTGCCTAGAAAAGGCATTTCATTTCATTTAGTCAACCATGAAATCCTCTGTATACCTAAAATATTCTAGAGTCACAGGTGAGGTCATCTGTCGGTCCAAATTGGGTCATGTAGCAGAACAATGATCCCAAGCACAGCAGCAACTCTACAACAGAATGAGTGAAAAAGAAAAGAATCAAGGTGCGTCAGTGGGTTTAAGTGTAGAACTCAGTCTGATTGAAATGGTGTGCTGGGACCTTAAGAGAACTGTATAAACCAATCCCACAAAATCCAGTTAATTAACATTTCAAAGAAAGAGTACACCAAAATTCCTCCACAATGATGCGAGAGACTGATAAAGTCATACAGGAGGCCTTTACTTTTAAGCCACTGCTGCTAAAGGAGGTTTGACAAGTGCTTGAATCACGGGGGGTACGTCGTTTTTCACACACATAAATAAGCCCACAGTATATTACAGCTTATGTTGATTTAATAATAAGGTATGATTATTGATACATTCTTTTTAAATTCTATTTTATTGGAAGGAGGACAGCATACCGCGCCATCGGCCCCTCTGGCCAACACCAGTAGGCGGTAGGGTAAAGTGTCTTGCCCAAGGACATAACGACCAGGACAGAGAGCCCGGGGATCGAACCGGCGACCTTCCGGTTACAGATACGCTTCCCAACCCCCTGAGCCACGGTCGCCCCGTGATAATGTTTAAATATATTTTTCTTATTAGTTTTCCAACTTAGAAAGAAAGCCAAGCCGCTTCAGACTAAAAACACAACATCCCTTTTAAAGTCAGAAAGTTTGGTGTGCGTGACATTTTACTGGTCACATGAGGTGAAGCACAGGTCACTTACTTTATCATATCATTAACAATGTGACAGTAAGCCAGCATGAAAAGAAAATAAGTAGAGTTTATCAGTTTAACCCCTGCATTTCTTTTACTTGACGTGGTAAAATAAAGAAGCCAAATTGTTGTGTTGCAGTAGTTGGCAGTATCCACACTTGGATTGCATGTATTACAGATTCAGAGCTTCTTTAACTTTCTTTTATGGTTGTATTACAAAACAGTTACCAGCATAACTCACACAAAGATAATGCAAACTTCATGTTACTTGACAGAAATGTTCCATTTTAATGGCTACGGCACTTCTTTTAATTTGTCCCTTCATGGCTTGGAGGTGGTAGTTAATACCTGCTCAACTAAATCCCAGGAAAAGCAAATAAAGACACTGCAGTTTCCTCCCCTCCTGCCACATTCACACATACACATTCAGGCTGTGCACATAGTGCGCCAGGAGAGCGACACACTAACGCACGCTTGCACAAATCCCCTCCCTGCTCAGCCGGGGGTCACAGTGTCAGTTTATGATAGTAGCCAATTCTAGCAGGGATCATTTAATTCTCCAACATGATTGATACTAGCGCAGGTTAAATGGGAGAAAAAAGGTCTGTTCTATTAAGAGATCATTGGCTAGTGGAGACCTCCCACTTAAATAGTTATATTTTCAGTAGGTGTGTGCTTGCAGTGTGTGTCTGTGTGTGTCACTCAGTTTCTTGGTTATGTTGAAGGGACAGTTGCAGAGGACTATCCACAGGTCAAATTAAATAACCCAGGTAATTTAAAAAGCATTGACAGTGCAATTTGTCCATTCAGTGTTATTGCTCTGACCCCTATTAGTGTCGATGGGCTGGTTCATTTGAACCTGGATGGCTTATCGAGGTGTTATCTTCTCATCGCAATGGAAGCGGTGTAAAACAAAGAAAGAAAAAAGCCCTAACAGTCATTTCAAAGCCATTAGGTCAGACTGCAGTGATTGAGAAGTATTACGAGGCCTTAATGTTCTTCTCTATTATTTCTACTAAAATCATTTAGGGGTAAAAATTGCAGATGAGGAAGTAATTATAAGCCTATAAGCTCATAAGTGGAAAGGCAGAGATGTTACTGCTTATTAAACCGTCTATTCTATTAACCTTTCCAACAAAATGCGCCCCACTCCCACCCCACCGGATTATCAGGCAGAAGAGGCCCAGTGGGACCTTTGGCTGCCCTGAAACGACTCGATGGATGTTAGCACAGAGTCTGAGACACTTCCCACCCACACCACTGTAAGTTACTAATTTTGACAGTGCAAGGCAAAGTAAATAACATCCATCAGCTGGTTTGTTTACTTGACAAAAGATGAGATTAAAATACATTTTACATGAATGATATTGTTTCAATCTTAGCTTTGTTTGAGATTTTGATCTTCTTTTTCAGTTTGGAGAAGATGTGTTGGAACATGAGCTGAATCTTTCCAGCTCACACTGTCAGACGGAGAGTGGGGGGAACATCTTACTACAGCTGCTGGAATTCAAAACCAATCTGCTCGAAGCCGTACAGGAGCTGCATATTCGGAGGGTAAAGTTGAAGTTGTAACCATGTCACTGTGAAGGCATTAAGGTACCATCTCCTTGAAGTATACTTTATTTTAATTTCATAATCAAAATCACGCCCTGTGTCATGGCTCCGGTGGCATTTTTCTGTTTCTCCATGGTGGTAAAAGACGTAAGTACTTAAAAAAAACTGTAACAAGTATAATAGACCAGTGATCCAATGTAGCCCTTTCGTGGGCAGTGGTAGTACTGCGTTGAGTGTCATGCCTTGATCCCTTTCTCCATCTTCTATTAGCAGTAATTAACAGCAGCTTAGCGACAGAGTTCACTGATTCCTAACTTTAAAAAATCTACCAGCTCCAAGCAAGGTTCATCCATACTTTAAATACTGATCACATAAATTAGCAGAACATTTCATATCAATTTACCAAATTAGTGCAGTGAAGCTATTTTATTTAAATAATATCTGAGCTGGTTGGTACTAGAATGATACACGAGACTGACTTATGCATAATTTCAAACAATACTAAAAGCAAAGATTTATAAGCAGATGCGTGAGCACATGCTCTGTGTCAACACTGGTCATTATTAGCAGCGGCTTTCTGGGAATTACGCTGTGCTCGTTTAGGTTCGGAATTGGCTGACATGAGAGCTGTTTGAACTTTGAGGTGCCTTGTTATGTGTATTGTCTCTAGTATTGCTCACTTCCTCTATTCCTCTGTATTATATCACCATTTCCTGAGTAGAACTGAGACACTAATGACTCTGTTTGGCTGAAGAGCAGTGTAATTTCACAAATATATTGGTTATGTTGGTATTAGAGCATTCATAGAGAAAGCTAAGTGCCCCTTTGGCTACGTGGATTTAACCCTGCTGGATATGATGCACATTATGTCAAGAAAGAGGGGAGGGGGTCATATAAGCCTATTAGCCCTTAACCAATGAGCACAAAGTCAATTTGTTTGTAAAGAACTAACAAAAAGAATAAAGCTTTCTCCCCTCCAGCAAGTACTTTAAATCCGAGTGTGCTTAAAGGTTAGAGGAGCAAAAATGGGATGTTGGTCGTTGAGCTTTTATTGTTATAGTCATGTTAACTCAGACACAGACATTAGATGATATATCAGTCTGTTCCTCCTCAGGCACTGCCGTTATCAAAGTAGCACTTTGTAGTTGTGTCGTTCACGGGGGTGGGAAGGTTAAGAGGCAAGAGGATGTCATGATGGAGCCGGACATTCCTGAGCAGGTCAAATTCCAGCACTTTCTTTTTTTTAAAGCGGTGTAACCAGCGGCTTTAGTTGGTGAAGATGAGTCATAAATGGGGAAGAACTGCGAGTAAGATGAAATGTCACATTACATGAAATGCATGTGATATGAGATTTAGTGTGATCTGGAAACAGTGTCAAACTTTTTCCAACTCAAATTTTTATTCCCACAAACTTCCAAATGCCATTTTTTGTTTTTTAACGCCCAATAAAAGGTGACCATTCAGAACAGCAGTAAAAATGGTAAAAAGATGAAAAGCTATAGATGAGATTGTGCAACATGGCTTTTCGGCCTTCTCTTGATACACAGTTACCTGTTTTAATTTACATGGATTACTGATCTTAGAAAGGCTTTGCTGTGCATTTAACACATGCACTCACACATACACACAGCAATTATTCCCTGGTGGAAAAATAACAGCTTTATCTCCTGTGTACTCCTTTTTTCTTTTTTTTGTGCCACGCTGGTAGCATACTTTAATAGGAACTTATAAAATAAGCTCGCTGAGTTAACCGGCTCCCACGTGCACATAAAAAAGTCCCCTGGATATAGTGAGCACTTGACTTTTACCTGCCTTCTCCAAGAGAAGAGGGAGGATAGGGATGGTTTTCCACAAATATCACCTCCCTTCTAATGTTCCCCCATCACTGACTGCTTCCACAAAAGATACGCAGGACTGAACCAAAGAAACTTAAAGCACTTTGCAGTTTTGGCTCAACTCCACTGGCCCACAGAGTGAAAAAGATGAAGATTTTCAGACTGAATCACACCTTCTTAGTCACAGCTTTCCCGTTTAAATGTTCTTATCAGGTGTTTCCTGGTTGCTTGTCTAATTGTGAACTTACTGATGCCTGAGAGTCAGTTTTTTTGGTTTAGGATGCAGAAACCCGCTTTGAGGATCAGATCAGTAAGCTGGTGTTGGAGAAGCAGGAGATGGAATGGGAGAAGGTACAGCTTTATTTAACAAGTAATATCAAAGAATAGATGAGATCATCAGTAACTTTCTTCCGTCTTCCCTTTCATTTGCAGGAATCCCTACAGCATCGAATTGAATCTGTGACAAAGCAACACACTGAGTCACTCACAAATCTTAAGAAACAGGTGTGGTTTTTATTCCTCCATTTTCATTTCTAAACAAGACTTTTAACAATGTATTAAAACCTTTCCAAATAATTTATTATCTTTTCTCAAGTTTCAGGCCAAATTAAGAAACACAGAGGAGGAAAAGGTACAGAACTCTTATTCCCCCAAACATCCCCACGATAGAGCATTTTATTCAATAAATGTCTTTAGAGGAGAAGTAAATTTACTCATCTCAGTTTCACAGTTTTGGCCCTCGGAGTGAATTCTTTTGTGCTGTGCTTTGGGCTTTTATTGCTTTTTTGACACTCAAAATGAATTTAACATTTCAGGGGAAATATCAGGTCATTGCTGAGTTAAAAGACAAGGAGATTAACAACTTAAAGGAAGAGCTGAAGTCACTGCAGGTACTGAGTTGTTCAACATTCTTCTTTCTTCTCTATCTCTGTTTTATTGTAACATGCACACCATCAGCACCTTTTATCCCTTCTTTATTAAAAATAAGCAAGATAACACAGTTTAATCGTTAAACTGTTCAGAGAGACAAGTAAATAAAGAAAAGGCATGCTCGATCAGAGTCAAGGGTTCTGGTGCATGAGCCTGGCCCGCTCCGGCTCCCCTCTGCTCATCTTCAGACTTGACACCACAGAGGTGATAAACGATCGTACTCACGGTCCAACGCACTTTAACAACCCAGCCGTGTTACAGAGACAATAGAGACCGTTTTTGATATTCTATCTGGGAGACTCTGACTGCTGTGTTTGGATAAAATGAAGCCCGTTTGTGTTCAATCTTGTGACACGGTCTGGTGGATTCTTTAATTTAACACATTATCACACAAGTGACAGGTGGCACTGAAGTGATTTAATTGCCATGTACCTTGACTTATCTGCACACCACTGGTGTTGTATAGTTCAAGTAATGTGAAATATAAAAAGATTCATACACCAGCTATTTTAATTCTAGTAGAAATTTTTTTTTCATATTCATAGTAATGTTTAAATTCATGCAAATGATAAATGGGGTATTATTGCCCCCAAACTTTACCTTTAGGACTATTTTTTTCTGTATTTTGTGGCAAAATATTTTGTTGTTGTTTACATTTTATATGTTAAGAATAAAAAAGGAAACTGTATTTTCTCCTGGCCTAAGACGTAATTTGGACAAAGTCAGTGTTTTTTTGTTTGATTCGTTGTTTGTAGGTGGAAGTAAGTATACAGTTTAAAGAAGCAAAAAAAAAAACACAACAATTTGGCAAAATGAGAAAACATCTGGTGGCCCTATCCAGGGTGGGACGGCCTCTTTGAGTCCTGTCAGTGAGGCGTTCATTGTGTAACAATCTATGCTAAAAGTCTATAAACGTGGAGGGACTTAATCACAGAGCCCGTAAAGACAGTGTATTTGAAAGTGAGATGTCTGCATGACATGATGGCAAAACAAAACATTTGGACATGCAGATGCAGAGAGAGAGTTACAGTACTGAAACAAAAGCGTATGTTGAGATGGGGCTTTGTGTCACATTACATGATCTTTAGTTGGTAGAATTTTTGCATTTTTAAAAGATTGTAGATTCAAATTATTTCTTTTTAAATATGTTTTATGTTGCTTTTGTTTACCTGAACATGTTAAGGAAGTCTTTGCAACACAGGCTTCAAAGCTGAAATGTGAAGGGTTTTTTTTAAACTTTGGAAAAAGCAAGACTTGCTTTAAATTTCACTCAGTTGCTGCTGTTATTAAAAATGTGCCATCTTGATTCCAGATGTGTTGAAAACTGTCATGTACGATTGCAACATCACTTATTTCTATTTTCTAGAAGCCGCTCTCAAAAACAGGCTCGCTAATTTTCTTTTACTTCTGTCACACAGTTGCTGAAGTACAACTTGGAGAAGAAATCAAGTGAGCTGGTAAGGAAGGATTTTTCCATTTATACAAACTGTTGACAGAAGGTTGGTGGGAGGGGAGTAAAATTAAAAGAGGAGGATAAGGGAATGGTGCTAAGGAGGGATGGGTTTAGAGGGGAGAGCTCATCAGGAGTAACGGATAGGGAGTGTGTGACACTTTGAACTGCCAGCACAGCAGAGAAAATATCTCTATTAAAATATTTTATAACTGGGCCTCGCTCAGTTTAACCTTCTTCGCATGACGGTGGCTCAGCAGAGTGAGAGGGAGTTGTAGAGATCTGGCGAAAAGGAGAGTCGGACAGATTGACTGAAGGGAGTGAGAATGAAAGAGAAGGGAGTGAGTGAGAAAACGGGAGAAGGAAAGAATCTGCTCAGCTTGATACACACAATCAAACTGTAATGGCAGTTTGAAGAGCGATAAAGCGCTCTGAAGCATGAGCCCACTTGATTCTTACATTTCACTGAAAGAGGCAGGCACTAACTCTGTCAAAGCGTGACCCTCACTTTACTTGACAGCTGTTTCCACTGTCGTATGTCTTTATTTTGCAAAATAAGCTAGCTCCTTTTGCTGAGCCACAGCCATCAATCTGCTACAAGCTGGTAATAAAGGGGCAGCGTGGTGGTGAATAGAGGGTCCGTTCTGGATTTGAACCTCCTGGTGACCTGTAGTCGTTCTGTGATGAGTTTGTTTGTTCTCCCTGTTTCATCCAGAAGCTCTAGTTTCCTCTCACAGTCCAAAGACCTGCATGCTACGTTAACTGGTGTTTCTTATTTGGCTGTAGGATGTGAAAGTGTGTCACCTGTGTCTGTATTGCCCTGTGATGAACTGGCGACTTGATAAGTCTTTCTCTTAAGCCCCCAAGGTGGATAAGGGGTTAAAAAATGGGCAAAGGAAGAACTGGAGTCAGGGTGAAATTGCTAATCTGACCCCTACAAAAGTAAAACATCTGCATATGGGCATATCTCATCGACCAATTAACTTTTAAGGGGGAGGGGAGAGAAGCTGGGGACAGGCAGGTGGTGGTGGCTTTAAAGTCTAAGGAGTTTTGCTGTCACCATTTATCATTTGAAACCAGATATAACAAGTGAGGGGCGGATCAAACTGACAAACCGAGGGCCCTCATAGGTTAGAGACATGTCAGTCACATGTAGAATCATCCTCAGTGATATACAAACAGTCCCAGGATCTGTGTCCATTAACGGGCCGGGTCCTCCTCAACATATTTCTTCTTGTCTGTTTTAACTGTGGCCCCTCCACAGGAACAGAAACTGGCCTTACAGAGCCGGACAAAGGACGGCCACCTGAGCCAACTGGGAGAGGTGGAGAAAAGATTCAGTGCCTTGTCCAGGCAGTGTGCCATGGTCAAGCAGGCCCATGACAACCTGGAGCAGAATGGTAATAGATACAGAAAGACAGATATATAAATTAATGTTCTGTATGATGATCACTCTAGGCTTACTAATGATCCCATGCAAACAATTATATACACAAATCAGATCACGCATTTCACATATGTGCCGCTTCAGTTTGTCATTACTGAGTGTTATTAGGTTGTTTTCAGCAGAAGAGGTTCTGGTTTGTTCCCAGTATAGCCTGAATTCTCTCGGTTATAAATATAATAAGGTGCTGGAAACAGTTCACAGGGATCCTGGTACATCGTGACGTGATACAGTAGTATGTCTCTGCTCATGCAGAATTTTCAACAGCACATTCATTCCTGAGAAAATCTTCCTTCACATCATTCATTTCACTTTATCCTCGTCTTTGTTTTGGGGTCAAGATCTGGGTAATGCGCAAAGGTCACTGTCATGTTTCTTTAAATGCTCCTCTAGGAACACTTTGATAAGAGTAAACTATGAAGACATCTCCCAGGTCAGCAGTGAGGTTTAGTTTAGCACTGGGTTGCTATCTAGAGGCTTTATGTGAGCCAAGAAAATATTCCCACACCACCAACACCAGGCAGCCTGTCCTGCTGACACCAGGCAGGATTGATCCATCACATTATTTTCCTGCTCTTTAACTTTTTAACCTTGCTGTCTACTCATCTAACATACTTTCCTCTTTTTCCTGTCAGCTAAAGGTAGAGTTTTTGTCAATGAAGCCCAGATGTAGTCATGTTTAATGAGACGTGTGTTCTTAAACTGACCTTTTGCACAACACCAGCCTCAATTTTTAAGTCCAAGAGGCATTTTCTGGCCAAATATTGGGATTATTTTAGTGTCTGTTACAATTAGTGGTAAACCAACTGCAATGGGAAATCCATTTCATCTTGTGTCCTGTTGTTTAGTTTTTTCATTGAATTTGTGATTTAGATGGGAATCCTTCCTGTTTGCCCTCATGTATAAGCTGTGTATGTTTCATGCTGCACTATGTGTCAATTTCCAGTTGATGAAGCCATGAGAATAAACAAGAAACTGACTTCTGCTAATGAAAAACAAGCAGCAACCATTGTGTCACTAAAGAAGGTATGGGGCCAAGTGGTCTAGCATTTAGATTGTTTGAGGCATTTTTGTGATTTTCCTTCTAAACTTTGTACCATTTGGCGTTATCAGTTAAATATCAGCCACTAAAATATATTGTTGTTTCAAACTAGAAGATATTGAGGGTATTATTTGAGTTGTCCAGTGGCCTGAGTAGTTTGTGAGGCATCAGCTTGACTAATCCTGTGATTCTTATGGTGTCCTGTCAGGAGTTGGATGAAGTCAGTAATGAGCTCAGCAAGGCCAAGATGACTTCAGTTAGACCGGCCAAACCCTACAGTCCCACAGGCAGAGAGCAGCATATACAGCAGCTGCACCAGAAGCTGAAGCTGGTAAATGATGGTCATTAACAGAAATCGTGTTTTATTCTAGCAATTCACAGCCAAATGATCCCAGGTTCAAATCCCATTCTGTGTGAAGTTTGCATGTTAGCCCTGCAAAAGTGTTTGCCGCTGCATAGTACATGGGATAAGGTCCAGCCCCACTGCAACCCTTATTTAAATAAGCTGAAGAGGATAGATGGATCGATTGATTAATGCTGAAAAATCTAATCCAGTTCTGACACAGACAATATTTATTTTTTTGTATGGTTAGGAAACTGAAATGAACAAGAAGCTAAGGGAGGAAAATGCAACTGAACTAGCAGAAAAGCAGGTAAGGACCTGGAACATGACTAAACCTAGACAGCTTTAATGTTGAGTCTCTTCCTTCAGTGAAATTTTGTGAACGTGATTGTTTTGGAAACTCCTTTGAAGTATTTCCACTTTTTATGATGTCAAGGTTCAAATAAACCAAAATCAAGCCCGGTCAGTTTGTGCGCCATTATTGTGTTTGTGTCTGTGTGTGGTTTAGGAGGTGATACGGTCTCTGCAGCACACCCAGCAGCTGTTGCTGAGTCAGACGCAGACAGTGAGGAGAGTAGAGTTGGAGCTACAGACACAAAGACAGACGTGCGAGGTCAGAGTATTTCATCCTGTACTATTTTGTGGATGTAACTCTTCACATGTATACATGTTAGCCAAGACTTCCCTCTTGCCATGCCTTGGTAGCCTTTTTCTGAATTGGCTTCACTTTTCAGACAAGGAGATTACATCTGTGGGGGTTCACATGTAGTGCATTTTAAAAATAACTCAGTCCCCTTACAATTGCTGTCATTCAAAAAGTGGATCAGTCTAAAAAAAAACTTGGTTCTTTTTGCATTCGCGTTATAATAATGAGCTCATTTGAAAAGTCACTTTACAGAATACAGGCAAGTGAAAAGTACTTCTCACTTACCTGTATTCTGCACTAAATTCCCACCAAAGTTCCTTATCTTCATGTGATGGTAAGATGGAGAAAAAGTTTCTAGGTGTTCTGGACAGTTCCAGTTTGATGTGTTCTTCAGTTCCTCCTGCACACCAAACTCCCATTCAGCTTTATTATTATTTTCAAGGGCAACTGTTTTTTGTCTGTTTGCTTTGAGCATCTCATTGCAGTTGCGTGTGATCTGTCTGTTGTGTCTCTGCAGACCTAAATTACAATCCCCGATGATGAAACGCATGTGAAGTTTACTTTAACAGATCAAAAGAGAGAAAACAGCTAATATGCGTATCTGAGTGCCCGGCTTGAAATTACCTCCACCAAGGAGTTTCTGGTTTGAAGGCATTTGTGTGCATGTCATTCTGTCTGTAAATACAATAGCTTGAAAACTTTAGAATGAATTCTGGTGAAACTCTGTAGGGGTGTAGAGTGGAGTTTACACCCCATTCTGTCATGCTAATCTCCAAAAGTTGATTCTGTTCATCTGGACGTAGCGTTTTGTGGGAGAAACGTTTCGTTACTCATCCAAGTGACTTCTTCAGTCTCAGCTGACTGCAAGTTTCCAATCTTATAAACAGTACATTTGCATAATGACTGAAACCAGCCCACTGAAGGAACAATGGGCTGGGAGGTCAGTTCCTTAATCATAATTATGCAAATTCTCATAACCATTGATCAACAACCACTGACCAAAACCCACTGATCAAAGACCACTGATCAATGGCCATGAGTACCATTCACAGAGAGTTGGGGAATGGCTGCAATCACAACATGTAAGATGGTGACAGATGTACCCTTAGGCCCCCTCCTCGATTCAGAGATGGTCTTTCCCTTTTCACATAAATAGCCTCCTTGACTCTGCGCTCAAACCAGCGTTCCTCCCTGTCCAGGATGTGTACATTCTCATCCTTGAAAGAGTGTCCACTGGCCTGTAGGTGTAAACAGACTGCAGAGTCCTGGCCTGACGAGGTGGCTCTTCTGTGTTGTGCCATCCGCTTCTCCAGAGGTTGTTTGGTTTCCCCGATGTATATATCCCGGGAATCCTCCTGGCACTTAACAGCGTACACTATGTTACTCTGTTTGTGTCGGGGGAGCCGATCCTTGGGGTGGACCAGTTTTTGGCGCAGCGTGTTTTGGCGTTTAAAAGCCACAGAGACCCGGCGTTTAGAAAAAATGCGTCTCAACTGCTCCGATACTCCTGACACATATGGGATCACTACAGGTTTTCGCTTGGGCTGTTCTTCTGCCTCCCTGGCCGCTGTGTCAGTGGGGATGGTGTTCACTCTGTGTTGTAGCGTCCTGATGACACCCAGTTTGTGCTCCAGTGGATGATGAGAGTCAAACCTTAAATACTGGTGTAGGTTTACGGTACACGTCAGCTTTTAGATGGCCCCCATTACTGATGGAAATCTCACAGTCTAAGAAGGCTAACCTGCCACTTTTCATATCCTCCCTGGTGAATTTGATGTGTCGGTCCACCGAGTTAACGTGATCCGTGAAATGTGGTACGTCCTGAGATTTGATTTTCACCCAGGTGTCATCAACATATCTGAACCAATGGCTTGGTGGTGTTCCAGGGTAGGATAGCAAAGCCCTTTTTTCCACTTCTTCCATGTATAAATTGGCCACGATGGGTGAAACTGAGGAGCCCATGGCACACCCATGTTTCTGCCTGTAGAACTGACCCTTGTATGTGAAGTAGGTGGAATGAAGACACAGTTCAAACACACTTGGTCGATGCTGAGAGTGGTCCTGTTGCTGAGGTTGGGGTCATCCTAATCTCTTACGGACTACCTCCAACGCTTTCGTGACTGGGATGCAAGTGAAGAGAGATGTAATGTCGTACGAGACCATGGTTTCATCTGCCTCCATAATGACATCTCTCACCTTCTCAACAAAATCCAGGGTGTTCTGGATGTGGTGTTCAGAGCTGCCCACCAGCGGGTTGAGGATCGAAGCCAGAAACTTGGAGATGTTATAGGTGACAGAGTTGATCATGCAGACAATCGGTCTTAAAGGTGCACCCTGTTTATGTATTTTCGGTAAACCATACAGACTTGGTGTAGATTCCCCTGGGTACAGCCTGTGGTATGAGGTCCGGTCGATAGCCTTGTCTTGTTCTCACTGCTTCAGACAGTCTATCACCCTCTTCCTGTAGCCACTTCCTGGGTCTCGTTTCAGGGGCTTATAAGTATTTTCATCACTGAGTAGTGACAAAATCTTCTCATGATAGTCTTTCTGGTTTAGCAATACTGTGCACCGACCCTTGTCTGCTGCAAGGATGATAATGTTGTTGTCATCACTAAGTGATGTGAGTGTCTTCCTCTCCTCCATGGTGATGTTGGATGCTGGGGGCTTTGCATTGCTGAGACAGGCCGAAACTTTCGTCATGCTAAGTAAATAGTGCCCAGAGAGAGAGCTACATTTTGGAGTGCTTCTTGTTTATTAATGTGTTAGATTGGATAATTATGTCCAAATACACATTTCAACCTTAATCACACATTTAGAAAAGTGTTGCAAAGAAGAAAAGAATAGAAATGTAAAGTGTAAATCAGAAAAAATAGCACATCTTAATCTCCTGATTTATTTTTAACTGGTGTATTCATGTTAACTATCATATACTGTATGTAGTACAAATATTGGTAAGCATCACTGGTAAGCAAAATTGATTTAATAATAACAAAGTTTTTTTTGCCTACAGGAGAGAAAAAATTAGCTCCAGGTGTGTCTTTGTTTATCAATAATAAGGAAGAAATAGAAGAATTTATCTTGTTGATTCTTACAAATTACAGTCATACATTTAAGCCACATTTAACAAAAAATTTGGGGCGAATGAAATTTATCCTTACAGACTCTGGACTTTAAAGTTAGTGCGATTTCAGTCCTTTTATGTTAGAATACTTTAATTGGTTTTTGTGTGCAAAAACAAAAATAAATGCCAAACTTATAGTAATGACATGTCTGTTATCCCACTTCACCTTTGTAGAAACCTCCTTTTCATGCACGTTGGAGTTTTGGCTGATAGAAAATGTGATTTATGTCTCCAGATAAAACCCTGCACCACCCATTGGTCCCACACAGATCAGAAATTTTTCAGGGTCTATTTAAATGATTATAGAGTAAATTTATGCAAAGACCAAAATGAATGACAACCATTGTTCCTTCCCATAAACTTGATGAATGGGATGTTGTATATCACAGCATGTACATGTGTGAATATAGTCGGCTCCACAACTGAATGATAGTGTGTTTATTCTGCATTTATAGCTTTAAAGTTTATTGTTCTCTTTTCTTCTCTCTATACCACCCCCTCTCATTTTAATTCACCTATTCATTAATTTATTAAAATCATTATCAAAATGACACAAGCCAACTGATTTGTATTAGCAAGAAGTCCTCTCTCTGCCTGCCCTGTTTAGAACCCCCTGTTCACATTAAATAAACACATAAAAATTTAGTATTGCACTAAAACCACATGGGCGATTAATTTTACTGCAGGCCCTTAAACAGGAACATGAGGTGATGGGAGAGCAAAGCAAGGCAATGGAAGACAAGGTGGCCCAACTGATGGAGAGCTATGCTGCTTCCAAGACCAGCTGGGACAAAGAGGTAGAAGAAAAACTGTGCTGTGGGAGAAGGCATTGTGATGATAGTAGCACATATTTACAGTGTCCGTCAGGCTGGACTCTTCTATAGCAGACTTAATGTGTATATGGGAAGATGCCAGAAAATCATACAAGCTCATTTAAAATCACATCTTTCATTTGTCTGTGTGGGTAAACAGAAGACGAAGTTTCTGGATCACCTCAAGACACAGCAAGAAGCCCTTCAAGCACTGAAAGAGGCTTATGATGATCTTCATCAGAAACACGCTGAGCTGTCCTTACAGGCCAAATCACATGAACAGCACATACATGAAATGGAGGTATGTATCCAAAAACACATGTAGGGGATTACACGTGTCATGTGAGGCAGGAGTGAAAGATGGGTACGGGGGGCTACAAATGACAAATAATGACACTGTGATTTGTAGCGGAAGTAGTGAACAGATGAAAGAGAGCCTGGAGAGGTGGAGGTATGCTCTAGAGAGAAGAGAAATAAAAGTTCGTAAAAACAAGCAGATGTAACAGGGATGCTCCAAGGAGAAGAAGCAGTGATGGTGGATGAATTTAAATGCCTGGGGTTAACCATTCAAAGCAATGGGCAGTGCACAAGTAATGTGAAGAAGAGAGTGTAGGCAGGGTACAGTTGTTGGAGATGAGTGTCTTGGGTGATTTGTGAAAGCAAGAGTGAAAGGGAAGGTTTGCAAGATGGCGGTGAGACCTGCTGCTATAGAGACAGTGGTGCTGAAAAAGGACAAGAGGCCGAGCTCCAGATTAAAGCACAAAGGGGATCAGGTCTGTGGAGCAAATTGTCCCTAACATCAGGACATCTCCAGTATTAGATGCTTTCAAACCCCGTATGTATTTTTTGGCTTTTAAATCAGAATGAGTTTGAAGTACTTTCATTTGTGCTGTTTTTACACAGCTTTATATTTCATTTAACTCTGTCATTTTTCTCCTGTGTTTTATTTGATTTGATCATTTTAGATATATAGCACTTTGTTCAACAGCTGTTGTTTTTAAATGTCCTGTAGAGACGAACTTTACTTGATTTGAGTACATCAGAGAGACAGCTCAGGTTCAGTGTTTCGGAGGCAGAGTTATAGCGGCAAGGCTGACGGTTGGACACGAACAGGGGAGAGATAGTGGATACACTGGGCAAAGGATGCTAAATATGGGGCTGGCAGGCAGGAGGAAAAGAGGAAAAGAAGATTCATGGATGTTGGTGTGACAGTAGAGGATGCTAGGGATAGGGTGAGATGAAGAAGAAGAGAGTTTCTCTTAACAGAACACAATAAACACTTTTCTACAACTCTGTTTTTACATGGAAAAACTCATCATGCAGACTTTGTACTACTCAATTGATAAGTTTAAAGTATTTACAGGGGACCTTCACTTTTTTCTACCAATATCTGTACTGTTGCAGTGTTGGATGATTATATTAAAAATGAAAAATAACTAAAATGAAAAATTAACAGGTTGTGTTTTCAGCAGTTTTGACAGAAAGTGAAATACATGTGCTGACTTGCAGAACGTTAAGAACTGCAAAGCGGTCCTCTCATTTATTAGACAAACCTTTCAAAACAGACCAGAGTCAGCACTTGAACATTCAGGGATAAAGAAACCAGGAACAGAGCTCACTATAATATTTTTCATAATATTCTGATTTACAGCTATGGGAATAATGTTAATAACAGCAGGTGTAGCTGATGTATAGTAGGTGAGTTTATAAGAGAAACTGTCATGTGAATGCATGCATGTTTATTTTTCTTTGCACAGGTAAGAGACAGCAGCCAGACACTCAGTGTTTCTACCCATCCCACCTCTGTGGAGGAAGTTAGAGGCGAGGAATCTGTAAGTGAACGCATCTCCAGATCTAAGCTTCCCGGCTTTGGCAGTCTGCAGCACTCGGTCTCCTCTCAGGCCAAAATTCCAGACCGTTTAGAGGACACAGCAACTGGAACTATGATACTTGCCACTGCAGAAACTGAAGGTCAGCACACTAAATATAAACATACAGACGATAAATATGTTCTAAGAAACCATGAGACAGTCATTTTCTTATTTTTTCTCATGCGCGTTTTATTCTCTTTTAGGTCAAAAAGTCCCAAAACAACAGTCACAAACAATAAAAGAGCCTTTAAGCCACCTAAAAATGCCCAGTTGTCCACTTACCATGAATTTCAGCTCGTGTACTTTTTCTGGGACAGGAGCCACAGAGGCCATAACATTGAACAAAGGGGTTAACAACTCGAAAAGTGAACACAACCCTGATGTGCTTTCAGATCTAACTAATACTGCTCTCTCTGTGTCTGATGATGATACCCACTTTATCAGAGGTTGCTCTGCGAGTAGTATAACTGCATCGAACTCCGATTACAGCTCTCTCGGTGAATCTGCAGATTTACCAACAAACATGAAAAATAAAGGAGACGACACAGGAATGAATGAGAAAGAACATGAGGAGAAGGACAGCGGGAAACAAGGAAATAGCCATAGAGAAGAAGAGGAGAAAAATACAGGACAGCTGAGGAATAGGGAAGACGATCAAGGAGAAGATGTGAAGGAGGGAGGACGTGCTGGAGAAAAGAGAGGAACAGCCATGGCACAAACAACAGATAGAAGAAACAGGCGAGAGGACAGTGAGGGGTCAGCAAAGGATGCTGGAACAGAAACAAAAGATAGAGCGGATGGAGCGAAGGAGAGAGAAAAGACAGCAGTGCAGACACCACAAACACAGATACGAGCCCAGACGATCACTGATATGACTGCTGAAAAGAGCCACACACTGCAGGTCATTGACTTCATGGGCGCTGAGCCGCCTGTGGATGTCTGTAAACCCTCAGACTTCACACAAAGTCTCTGTCAGAAAGTCAGTGAAAAGGATGCTGAATGCAAACATTTGAAGATCCATGGTGAGACTGGAAGAGATGGAGAACATCAAAGTGTTAGCTCTGAACAACAGGAAGTTTCAAATTTGTGTCAAAACGAGGTCCAAAGCTCAGACGGAGACACAGGATCACTAAGTCAGCCTCCCACCAAAAAAGCAGGGGAGCTTTCTGCTGGACTTTCTGAACACCTGAAGCAGTCAAGTACCTCACAGACAGACGATGCCGCATCAGCTGGTCACTCATATGGTTTTCACAGCGCTGAAAACTTGGGATCATGTCAGACACATACAGAAACACGTACTCCTTCTGACGTTATTTCAGATATGACGCAAACAGATGAAATCTTTGATGTACCTGTGAGTGAAAAACTGGCAGAACCTGAGCAGCTGCTGGAAAGCTTAGAGCAGAAAGATGGGCAGCGGAAGTCTGTGGTAACTGTTGAAGGAAAGGGTGATCCAAGTGTAGAGAACAGAAGAAAAGATGAATCAAGTGTAGATACGAATGTCTATCAAACACCTATGGAAGAATCCCACTTAAAAGATGGCAATGTTAATATTACGATGGGTGCCATAACCCTTGATTCTGAGGTGAAAAGTGAGCATATAAAGGACACAGAAGATACAAAGAAGACTAAAAGTGAAACAGATCCGAAGCTGCCACTCGTTACAAGTCTGGGTCACAAGCAGCCTGAGTTAGGAGAGAAGCTGCTGAGTGATTGTGGCAAGTCGTCTCTGCCCAGCAAAAAGACTTACAGGCCATTATTTGAGTGGGCCGCTCCCGAGAGAAGAAAGTCAAACTCCAGAACAAAGTCAGATGTCACCATAGCGCACCAGCCAATCCAGGTATTAGAATCAAAAGGTTGTAGCGTTTTCAAGCTGTGTGATGAAAATATGTACAACAGTTTCAAAAGTCATATGATGCTCATACAGGACTAACTAGCTACACTAACCTAGAGAAGTGCAGTTAATCTTAGTTTGTAATCGTAACAATTTTTTGACATTCGGATGTAGAAATGCTTTAAAGCTGTGGTTAGTTTTATATCAGTTAAAATCTTGGTGTTTTTTTCCAGGGATCTTCTCTGTCTGAGCAGAATACAACTGCTGGATTCCCAGGACATCCTGCCAGCACAATAATACCCAAGCCCCTCAAAAGCAAACACGACAATGGTGGTGGTTTATCATTTCACTAAGGAGCACAGAAACTGCTCTGATGCATGACTAGGAACATCTTACACAGTGAATTCATTGTCCGTCTGCGTTTCTTACCATTACTAATCATCATTCATTCTTGCTTTCTTGCTGTTCTTGCCATCTCACCTCATTCCTCTTAGTCCCCTTGGTGATTATGAGGGCGTCAGACCTGTTGAATGCCTCCAGTGTCTGTGGGACCGCACCTTCCCTGAGGAGAAAGCAGCAGGGACTCTGGGAAGCAGTGCAGGAGACCTGCAGAGAGAGAACAGCAGCAGATACGGTCAGTTGTTAAGAAGTAGGGAATTGCTGGTACGACACTTTAGAAGGTGGCTCATTTATAACTGTGAGAGTTAATAATCATATATGTATGTCACAGAAGTTATTTTAAAATAGCTTGTAAAACACTAGTCAAGTGATAAAGCACAGCTCATGATTTACATACCTTTACATTTGAGAGCTTTATTGATGAGTCCTCACTGTGCGAGCTGCACTTTGGAAAATTTAATTTCAGCTGCTGAAGCCCGTGTCCAAGTACATTTTATCACAGTGAAGCTTTAATCGTGTTCTCTAGTACAAGTTGATGTTGAGCAGCAGGAAATGGCCACAGTGTCGTGTTCACATAGAAATGCGTGCCCCCCCCCCTCAGAGGACATCAGAATGACCGTTATAAAAGGGTTTTCTCTGTCGAGGTCATTGCTGTTCCACAGATTCAGAGCTTCATCATTTTATAGAATGTGTCTGAGCGGAGCCCATGGGAAATTTGAGCTGGAGCTTGAATGAATATGCCCGTTACAACAGCCTGACATGTCCTCAGAGGAACTAGATATTAAAATGCTCTTTCAACATTTTTGTGGTCCTGGACATTTAGAATGTAGGAGAACTTGTTTAACAGAGTACGCAGAATATCTGACAAAGATTTCAGAGGTTTCAAACTTTCCTGCTCTTTGATTAATGTTCGGTCAGGTGTTGACCGAATGGATGTGGCTTGATGTATGTTGAGCTCATAGACAGCCAGACAGACAGAGAACAAATGACCTGTGGAAGAAAAAGTACCTAATGATGCCTGGGTACCTCGCCTCTCTCACTCACTCAGTCTCTGGTCTCCACTCTCGCTCTGTCTTCCTCTCTCACTTCATCATTTGTCCCTCACTCACCTTCTCCACCCTCTTGCTGTTTCACTTTTTTTAAATTCTGTTTCACTTTTTCTCTCTCACACGCTCCCAAACTCTTTTGTCACCATCACCGCACTGTCACTCTGTGTTTTATACAATCCAGGTGCTCGCAGTTGAGGGAGATGGGCTGCAGCATGACTCGAGTATGAGGGGAAAAAACAAACTCATCTGATAGTTTAACAAATTGTAAAGAAGACCAAAGCGAAGAGTTCTGGCTGCTCTCTCTGGGCTGGATACAGATACAAATATCAGTTGTTGCTGCTTATTGTCTGCCCTGAATTTGTTTATCTGTCTTTTCTTTTCTTATGAAGGAATTAAGCATTGAACTGACATTTTTGTACCAAAAAAAGACCAAATGGTGGTGATAGATTTCTGCCTTATAGGTGCACCAGGTTGATCACAGTCTGTGGGCTTCTGCTTGTCCGCTTGATTTTCAGAATTGGCCATAGATTGCAGATCAGGGGAGTTACTGGGTTGTGAATCCACATTGTTCATTTGATATTCCACTTTATCACTTTATCAGGACTAGATTGCGATCACTCAGGATTTGGCCTAGAAGCATGCCACAGAGAACTGAAGGAGAAGGTTGAACACTATGAATACTCACTCTTTTCATACATTTGATTTATCTGCCAGTAATAGTCCAAATCCTATAGAAGAATCTTTGTGTTTCTTATTTACTGTATTATCTCAAACTATTATATTATAGAATAATAAATATGAAACACAAACTTTGTGTGACCACAATCATCAGCAGGGATGATGAGACAGAGTACCGGGCTGTGGTCGACTCCTTTATCACGTTGTTTGAGCAGAATCATCTGCAGCTCAACGTGGCAAAGACCAAGGAACTGATCGTGGACTTCAGGAAGACCAGGAAACACTTGACCCCTGTTTCAATCCAGGGGGTCAGTGTTGACATTGTGGAGGACTATAAATACCTTGGAGTACACATTGACAATAAACTGGATTGGGCTAAAAACACCACAGCACTTTACAGGAAGGGCCAGAGTCGTCTCTATTTTTTGAGGCAACCGAGGTCCTTCAACATCTGCCAGAAAATGCTGAGGATTTTCTATGAGTCTGTTGTGGCCAGTGCGATCCTCTATGCTGTTGCATGCTGGGGGAGCAGGCTGAGGGTCGCAGATGCCAACAGACTTAATAAACTAATCCGTAAGGCCAGTAATGTTGTGGGGATGGAGCTGGACTCCCTCAAGGTGGTGTCAGAGAGGCGGATGCTGTCCAAGATAAAGACAATGTTGGATAACACCTCCCACCCACTCCATGACATGCTGGTCAGTCAGAGGAGCACATTCAGTGAGAGACTGAGATTATCGAAAAGCACCACTGAACGACACAGGAAATCATTCCTGCCTGTGGCCATCTCCCTGTACAACGCATCCACTTAACACACTGTTTGCTGCTACAACTACACATGTTTCTTTTCCAGCTATTTATTTATGAGTGACTTATGTATGTGTATATATGTATATATTGTACTATTCTTAGTTAGCGTATTGTCTGTCTTGTCTTAATGTTGGTTTATGTTGGTTTATAATGGAGCACTGTAACAAAAAATAATTTCCCCCAGGGATCAATAAAGTATTCTGATTCTGATTCTGATCACAGCTTTCTCACAGTGGATATTTGGTGATATCTACTGTTTGTCGTCGTTTTTATGCAGGATGGCAGAGCTCCTCCGCCAAGCTGTTCTTTTCCAGCCTCCAGCACAGGCAGCAAACTGTCATGGCAAACCACTGCAGAGTGAGTATGTTTGTTCTTTAGAAAGAAGACACCAGCATTTGAACCAGAATAAATGTCAAAGTAAATAAGTAATAATGGGCAAATTTCATAGCTCCTATCTTTGTATCTACACACCTGAATGAAAATGTTCTTCACTAACGTTTTGGCCCATTCAGTAGTTAACAAAAGTATTGACAAAAAACAAGAGGGTTTTTTTTTTTTTCTTGGTTAAAAATGATATTTTAGAAGTTTTAGAAGTATTCTTATCATCTTATTCTATTCCAGCGTTTTTCTAATTTTTGCTATGTGACTTTGCACTGTCCACTTTCTGCTGTAACAAATCAAATTTCCCATGTGCGGGGCTAATAAAGGTTATTTTATCTTATTATCTTATCTTAAACATTTTCATTTAAGTGCATTACTTCAGTCTAATGGTAAGGAGAATTTGTATCGCTTAATTTGAAATGTGTATTATTACATGATTAATAATATGATTACTGACTACAAACAAGTTCATGCTAGTGTTTTCTTTGAATCAGGTGTAGCAGAGCTCCTACCTTAGCTGCAGGACCTAGTTCAGAGTCCAACTGGGAACTCTCCTGCTCCCAGGAGAGGGACGATCAACAGGAATCATTCAGGGCGCAGATCTCAAAAATCGAACAGTTCCTCAAGACAGAGAGACTCCGTCTGTCCAAAAGACAACAAACTGAACCAAATCTGTAGAAACTGCTGGTCGTCTTTATTCGCTGTCCTAGGTGAGACATTGTGTGGCACACGTTTGACAGTTATTGTTAGCGCAGGTCTAAATGTTCTGAAACATAATTGCTTTTTAATATATACATGTGTTACTGATTCCTTTGAACTGTATAGTTTCTTCTAACATTGCTGTTTGAAGTTTAAAGTTTTTTGGGTCAAATCATTAATTCTTCACTTTATTGTTATTTTAACATTTCTGTGCTTTAAATGGAAAACTGCAGAGTTTGTGTGTTTGTTTCACACGTGTGTATTTTTATGTTTTTAAGTGAAGAGATGAAAATAAGATAAGATAGCCTTTCTAAGTGACAAATATACAATACTACTACTGCTACGTTGGTAAGATTTTATTTTATCACACAGTTGCATGTGATTTAAGTAATTTTAAAAAGGCTCTGATGTCACCAGTGTAAAAATCCAACATTTCCAATCTCTTGTAATTTCATTAAATTACAGGGTTATCAGTTGTTTTCAAAATATTGTATACAAAGACTTTAGATACACTACAAGTTTCTGCAGCCTCACTGACACAACACTGACTCATCAAACCACACAAACAGGACATCGGTATGTGTTGAATGTCTTTTACTGGAAACATTATTCACAGTAAATCATGCATTCACAGCAAACAGCTGGATAAGTAAGGACCAAGAGCGCTGTTGCCCATTAAAAAGGCTGGGAACATGCTAATTAACATTAATTAGCATCATAGCCAATCAGTGTGGCATGTCTCAGAGGAGCTCTAATTGTGGAGGCACCTTTGGTCTACACCATGTTGTTTCTGCTGCTGCTGTTGTTGGAGGCAATTACAACTCGGGACACTCTGGTTTGACTGTGTTTACACCTATTAAATTAACAGAAATAACAGTTCAAATAACAATTAGCACTAAATATCCCAACCCTAATTAACCAAAAATCAATTAGTGAACACACAGTCCAATTAACACGTACTAACAAGCCTCTCGTTAACTTTATGTTCCCTGTGAGGATGATGGCGGAAAGAGCATATGGCCCCACAAGAGCATGAAGCAGCTGACCACACATGTTTGGATTCTCATTAGTCTGGTTGCTGCTTATGTACTGTAGACGTGTGGCATTTGGCTTCAGCTCACTCGCATCAGGTTAGTTTAAGTGGGTTTGAGAGTGTTGGACAAAGAGGTTTTTGTAGTATATAGACTGTCTAGATGCAAATTTCTATTAGCAAACTGATCTATTAATACATCTGACTGACATCAGTGCAGTTTGTAGCCCTAATTTTCAGCTGTCACACAGATACACAATGCTTTTTTACAGTATCACCTTCAGAAGACGAGATAATTTCAACATTATAATGTGCTGTTACGCATTTTTGACTTGGTGATAATGTGAAGACATAAAAATATATTACTTCACTTTTTAAAAATTACTTTTTTATTACCTCACTTTTTGTAGGTCACCATATTGATGCAAAAAAATATCTTTTTTTTTTTAATATAGCATAACAACATAGTATGTAAATATAATGCAAACATAATACATAATACCCATCTGTCAATTTTCCAGCACTCATCTAGGGCCAGGTCACTGGGGCAACCGTCTAAGCAAAGAAGCCCAGTCCTCATTATCTCACCTGCATAAACAGAATAACGCAAAGTTCAGTGTTGCAATGCTTCCCGTTTAACTTCTTACCTGTGCCTGATATGCAGCGAGTCAACAGAATTGCATGACACTGCCTGAGAGCATCACTCATATAGGGCTAATTGTTTTGGTTCATAACGTTAAATGGACTCATTCTTATATAATGCTTTTCTACTCTCCCAGAGTACTCAAAGCGCTGTATACAACATGCCACATTCACCCAATTACACCCATTCTCACGGACTCTAAACTAAGTGATTTTCTAATGACATTCACACTCGGATGGATGCATCAGAGAGCAACTTGGGGTTAGTATCTTGCCCAAGGATACTTGGCATGCAGACTGGAGGAGCCAGGGATCGAACCACCCACCTTCCGATCAGCAGGGGACCTGCTCTACCTCCTGAGCTACAGCCACCCCACATTAGATTCTGTCTTTAGCTTTAAATCCGATACACGGGACTTTGAAGCACATAAAGATATAGTTTTGTTTTCATTACTGTACTTTGACACTATGTTGTGAAACATAGGTTAGCAAAAGTTAACCATTTGGCTGTGGTAATTGACCCTTATGACTCCCCCACGCCCCAGAGCATGCCTACCAACAGATCCACAGCAGACCTTGTTGAAGTTATAAGAAAAGACTTGAGCTTTCACCATATTTCTACTCGCACGCTAAAATTAACAGCTAACATTTCAGTGGTGGTAAAATGGCTCAGCTTGATCCATCTTACTACACTTACTGATAATGAATACGTCTGAACCTTAATGCACTCATAAAGAAACCTGGAGCATTTGAGTGGCTGTGCCCACCACTGCTGACCCTTATCCGTATTGGGAGGACGGGAGATGATGGGAGGAGAGGTGGGGGAGGTGTGGAATATAAAAGAGTTAATTTTAATGCACTCGTGGTCGCAAAAACTCATAGACGATCTATATTTCTCACTCATACAGTTTTTGCCTCTCCTCTTTTACATAAGCGTGCACATGGCCACATACACACATACAGTCTCTGTTATGAAGTGTTGGCACTTTGAAACAGTCAATTACCCTCTGGCTAGGGAGGATACCTGCTGTTAATTACTGCTCAGTGTTTTATATGGAGCGTAAATAAAGAGACCGCTGACATTCACATTCCATCAATGCGTCCCCCAGCTCACACTGCATTGTGTGTGTGTGTTATTTGAGTTTAAAATAGCCCTTGTGAGGTAGGAACCATGGGGAAAACAGCATTTTGGAAAGAACGGGTACAAATCCTCCAACCTGACCAAAAAGATGCTGTTTCCCAGTGAATTTGCCTCATAAGACTAAATCCTGAAATAGTACCCCTGCACAGATATGCAGTATAATATATGCAGTTAAGATTTTGGTTTATAGTAATGTTGAGCTGGGGTTGGCAATGGCAACCTTCCATTTTAAACACAATTTGTTTTTACCCTTCCATCTACCCCAACCTCCTCCTTAGTCCTAAAACACAGTCAGTCTTCAGTCCCAAATGTGAATCTGATAAACTTCGATCATCAGTTTTTAATGCATGTTGACTGTACAGTGATAATAACTATAATGAATCAAGGCCATGATACATGTCTATTATTGTTTTGTTATATCTCCCTGTCATTGTTATGAGTTATGAGTTGGTCCCCCTGAATTCATCCCAGGTTATCTTTAGTTGCAATTATACACTGTACATAGTGGGAAACATTGGACCACTACTTTGAAGCCACAAGTAAAGGTATCATCATCTTTCTGTCATATTGGTAAACTTTTAATTTGTTTAGTAGAGTGAGGTTCTCGAGCCAAAAATGCCATTCATACGTCTCCATATAGGGCTTTAATTATGAGCCATAATGTTGTAGCCATCTAAAGTTGACTTACTATATTCTTCAAAACTGGGAAACAATGATATGTGTCTTGTAGAAATTGCCATAAGATATCAACAACCAACCAATGTGATGTCAGACAAAACATCTACTATATCCATAATCCTAAAGGGAAGCAAATACATCTCTGATTAGTGGAGGTCACTGTTGCCATGGAAGACTTTAAACATGTGACAAAAACTTCAGAAACTGTAATAGCAGTGATTGCAATCAGTTGATGAAGCACTGTACTATATCGATGACGTGGCTATATATATTACTTTGCTACACACAAACGGCAAAATATATTTTAAAAGTTCCGGTTTTATTTATATAGTGCCAAATCACAAAAACAGTTGCATCAAGGCGCTTTATATTGTAAAGACCCTACAATAATATAAAGACAACAGAGAAAAACCCTTATAATCATAAGACCCCTATGAGTAAGCGCTTTGGTGACAGCGGGAAGGAAAAAAATCAATTTTAACAGGAAGAAACCTACAGCAGAACCAGGCTACAGGATGGACGGCAATATTCCGTGAGCAGTTGGGGTGAGGAGGGGAAGACAAGACAAAAACATGCTGTGGAAGAGAGCCAAAGATTAATAACTAATAATTGATATTATTATCAAAAGTCCTATTATGCAGCGCTGCAATAATGAAAATAATTTCATTTGAAAAAGTTGGAAATCATTATGGGATTTGCAAAAACTTTTGGGATGAGTAGCTCCTTCACTGTTAAAAGAAATTATTCACACAGTCCTGCGTCTTTTTATGGTCATGACTCAACTGGTAGCTGGCTGCTTTAGTTCAAGACAATCAACGGGTTTCTTTGCTCTCACTGGTAGTAGCTTCAATTGCTCGCTTCAAAGTTGAGAAAAGTTTAACTTAGGACAACACTGGCGGTTATTTCATCACTTTCTGTGGTCTGTCGCCACCATATGTCTTCTAGTCACTTCCTATGTGGATGCTCCATAAAGGCATTTGTATAACAGGCTAAAAAAGAGGCAGATAACCACTACTGTGGCACAGATATAGGCTTATTAGTGCATACAAATACATACAGGATACAAATTAAATTAGCATCTTACCGATACCAGATTAAAAACAAATCCAATATTTGAGTTTCCACAGCAGTTATTGTTTTACTTGTTTACACTCTGCTTGAGTTCACTTGGATCAGCTGGTTGTCGTGTTTGTGACGTTTCAAATATGTGTTTCCAACAGCAAAGGTGTCTTTGGTGGACAAACTGCAATGTCAACGCTCGTAACATGGTTGAAGAATGCTTATCTCATCTCTTTGTTACTTTTTCAACCTTAAATTATCAGCCGATATAAATGCTAATACAAAAAGATTAACATATAGCTAATATCAGTAATCTTGCTGGCGGTATTGGAGGTTGCCACTTGGTGCAAAGTAAAAAGTGACTTAATCACACACACCTCCACCTTTACCTCCCAAATTGTGGCCTGTACAGTTAAAAGAAAAAAAAAAGACAGAAAATGTAGTCAAGTTTAAATTCAACCCTGATTTACAGTCCCATTTATTGAAATTCTGTACATGAGAAGGGAGGAAAGTTATATATTTGCCAATCCTCCAGCTAAATGGGTCTCACCACCACTAAACATTGCTGACTGTCCTGGGGTTACAGGGCCATGTTTTGTCATATTATACCTCTTTGCCTCAAAAGCCAT